TGGGGGCGTCGGTGGGGGACCCGTGCGGTGAGCTCAGGGTCCTGGCCTGGGAGTCGGGGTTCCAGCTCCAGGACCGCCACTCACTTCTGGTCCCTTTTCTCCCATAAAATCCCGTGAAAGGTTTCCTGGAATCGCAGCCCACTTCTCCAAGTGTGGACTTTTAGCTGGGGCCGCCTCCCCCCCAACAAACCAGGGTTCCTTGTCTAGGGATGGGGCCCATGGTCAGAGTCTGTTACCGCTGCCAACTGGGGAGTCTTGGGGCACCGCCTCGGGAGCTGTTTTACCCCCGTTTCCACCGAACAGACGTGTGTTTTGTCTTTACCGTGTTAGGTAGTGTTTTAACAGCTCTATCTTATTTAGTGCCCGCAGTAGTCCTGCGGAGGGGCGGGGAGGGTAACATTTATGAGCCCATTTTACAGGTGAGAAAGTGAAGGCCCGGGAAGAGATGTGACCAGTGTATACTGATGAGGAAGTAAATCACAGCACTGCCAAGAGGGGTTCTGAGCAGGGCAACAGCCAGGAGCTCCACGCAGCCCTGGACCCACACCCCCAGCGGGTCCGGCTCAGCCAGTGACCAGGCACCGCCTGTAGAGGTCCGGGCGCATGGCCTTCTGGACTCTGGTTTTCTCATCGGGAGGAGGAAGGCGTGCTGTGGCTGGGTGGTTTCCCATGGTGCCCTCACCTTTTTCTCTCTCAGTGACGCCAGTGTTTTCCAGATTCTGAGTCCCCAGATTCGGTGTTAACGGCTCACTTCCGTGTGGTGTTCACCGAGGCATGCCAGCCGCCGCCAGCTTCTGTCCGCCTGGGACTCGCAGGCGCCCCCCGAGCTGATCAAAGGCCGGCCCACGGCTTGGAAGAATGGCGGGGTGTGAGCCTTACAGCCCCGCTCGCCGCTCCAGGCAGGCCGGGCCTGTGCCTGCCAGCGACCTGCCGAGGCCTGGACCACAGTATCTAGGCCAGTGATGGCGAACCTGTGACACGCGTGTCAGAGGTGACACACACACTCATTTTTTGGTTGATTTTTCTTTGGTAAATGGCATTTAAATATATAAAATAAATATCAAAAATAGAAGTCTTTGTTTTGCTATGGTTGCAAAGATCAAAAAATTTCTCTATGTGACACGGCACCAGAGTGAAGTTAGGGTTTTTCAAAATGCTGACTCGCCGAGCTCAGAAGGTTCGCCATCACTGGTCTAGGCTGTTGCTGCTCTGAAAGCGCTGGTTTTAATGAGGAGCCCCGGGACCAAACGGCTGGAACTTCCTTTCATAAACTAGATGAGAGGCCGTTTCCTGTTCTAAACTCCATCTCCAACACACACACCCCATCTGGGAATGGAGGAAATCAGGCAGAGGCCAGCCTCTGTCACCCTGTCCGGAGTCAGGTCAGGGGCAGGTCTGGCCGAGAGGAGGAGAAACGTCGCACTAAGAGCCACTAGTTGTTTGCAAGCAGTGGGTGAGGCTCCCAGGGACCACGCCGTGTCCTGGGAAGAAGTTCAGGCCTCTGGACTGCATTCCCAGGCGTGGGCGTTAGCAGGATTCAGATTTATCTGTGGGAGAAGCAAAATCGGTGCTTGAGTTGAAAATCATACTTGAATCCACACTAGCATGTGCTAATTTCAGTTTCAGTTTCTATTGTGCATGTTCTTGGAGACATAAAATATTAAGACTTAGATTCAAGTCATGTTAAAAAACAACACAAAAAACTAGGGTTAGTAGAACCAAGAAGTTACCCTTGTAACGGTGCTCCGTGCTAACTCCTTTGACAACGTGAATTTACAGTGTCCTACCCAGAAACACCCGTTTTCCATGGCAGCTTTCAGGAGTTCAGGTTCGATGGGTTTTGCTTTTTGTTGTTCCTATTCTTCTGCCTCCCTTTCGCTGTCCCCAAAGAGGAGCCGTTGTGGCCGAATGGAGGGAACGAGAGTGTAGTCAAGGGTTTTATTCTGGTGTAGCCTCACCTGCAGGTACGTGCTTCTCATGTGAGGACCATGAGAGGTGACGTTCAGGGGGAACATGGCAGAAGTGTTTTTATGTTGGAGGTTGTTTGAGATCTGCTAAGATCTGAGGAGCATTTGTGCTTTTTATCTGTAGGGTACTCTCTAAGTAGGTTTCAGTACCACCTGCCCCTTTCTCAAGTTCCAACTGAATATTTTTATCTTATGAATGATTAGACTCTAACTTAAATATGTCCTTGTACATGTAGGAAAAGTAATACATGACAAAAGGACTACATGGCGTGATTTTAAAGTTACTAGTTAAAGCAGGTGATACGCAGCTGTCCCCGTTTATAGACGAATTCAATATTTATAAATTGGGTGGCATTCAGAAGGAGCTAAGGGATCTCATTGGTTAAGGTCATCCTGGCTCGAATCCTTGGGTGATGTAAAGAATTGTGCTGTGTCTTGGCAGTTCGGGCACAAATCTTACTGAGTCCGGTCAGATTTGTTGAAAGGATGAGAGAGCCTGCCAGGGGCTGGGGAGTTCAGGAGGGCGACGCTCATTCACGGCTTAGCCGCTGCCCTGCTGGGGCAGCCGAGTGACGACGGCATTCCGGGCTGGTCCCCAGATCCTCCAGGTGCTGGGAGATGAGCCGGAGCTGGGATAGCGCATGCTTCCAGTCGTTTCCCAGATCGGACTCGGGTCTGAGGGAGCAAACACCTCGTTGGGCGCGCCCTCCCGGTGCAGACGGATGCCAGCCCCAGTGGGAGCAGCGGCTCTCGCTGGCAGCTGTCCCTCCCGGTGAAGGACTCTTGCTGCATGTTCGGGCCCCGGAAACTCCTCTGTGCGTCCGGGATGCCCTGGGCGGGGGTTTGCTGACATGGCTGGGGGCCAGCAGGTCCCATCCTAGTGGGACGAACCCTCACAGCCTGCGCTTTGGCTGGAACCCGTGGTGGAGGTCAGTGAGCTGTGGGGCTGGCTGCACTTCCCACGCCCACCCTCAGGTGGCGATAGAGGAAGTAGAAACAGCAATGCAATTTCTAGGAGATCACCGAAGGGAGGAGAGGCCTGGGAAGGACATAACCTGACGAACAGTCTGAAGCCAGTTTTCACCCTTTGCCATCTCCCGGCACGTAACCTAATTACTAACATCCCGCGGCACACAAACAAACACAGAAGCCAGGTGTGCGTTGCTGCATGTGCATGAGCTGGTGATTGGTGGCCGTTGCTATTTCTCTACCTGACGGTCTGCGGGGAAGAGGCCGGTGCCACCCCCCCCTTGGCTAGCCGTCAGGTGGGGCGTGTGTCAAACACACCGGCGGCACACGGCTGACAATGCTGACCTGACAGAAGGCCTGGCTCTCTCGGGAGGCCGGAGGCCAGCACGACACCAGCTTGATTGTCACAGTCACCGCCTCCTGCCTCATCCAGCCAGCCTGTGCCTTGAGGTCCACAGGAGCTCCCTGGAGCCCGGCGTGCGGCTTCTTGTGGCTGCGAGTTTCTCACTTCCTTGATGTGTAGGAATTCCCTCGCGTGTTGATGGAAACATTCACCGTAGGAGGGGGGATAGTGCGGGCAGCCAGATGACACCGTGCAGTGTCAACACCTGGTTGGTGGTGTCCCAGGTGTTGTATGAGTTCCACATCAGGTAGAGGCTTCTCTGGAGATCTCCTGGGGAGACGCAGTCTGCAACGTGCTTTTCGGGGGGTTTCTATCGTATCTGTAGTCACCTCCGCTCGCACTCTCCCCGCCCCCGTCTGGTTGAAGATGGGCTGACATGCAGAGCAAGTCCCTGTCCCGGGAGTGCCCTCGCACCCAGTACACACATGTGTCAAACACGGGGAAGCAGCAAGTGGGAAAAGTGGAGGTGCCTGAGGACAGGAGGGTGGGCGTGGCTGGAGCAGCCCAGCGGGGGAGGCGGGAGAGAAGGTCAGAGGTGCCCAGGTCCCCTGGGAAGCCCGGGAGGGTTTTACGTAGGTCAGTCGTGCGCTCTGATGGATGTTTTTGTGCAGATTAGGGAACGGGTTGTGGGGAAATGGTGGGGTCAGTTCTGGAGGCAGGAGGCCGGCCAGAGGCCTCGCGGGGTTCCAAGTGGAGAGGAGACCAGGGAAGCATGTACTTGGAAGTTTACACAGTTCACAGCACCTGCGTGGCATCGTCTCGCTCTTACCGAGTTAGAAATGTCAAATGATTTAGGAGACCGTCTTAGGACCAAGTGGGAAAAGCCGGCCCGCTGTGGGAAGATAGCCTTTGTTTGCCAAGCTCAGGCCCAGAGAGGACCCCTGCTGCCTCTCGCTGAGGTGGTGGGGTGTCCCGTGTGTCCCCTACGCCATCCTGTGAAGGGCTGACACGGCTGATGTCCCTCCGCCCCGGTGTTCTGCACACACTTGCCACCTCACCCCCTGGCTTCTCTCTCATTACCTCCAACTTCATTCTCCGGTTCTTCGCTCACATCGCCTCTCTCCCGGGGGCGGCCCTCATCCTTCCTCTGTCTCGGGCGGAGGGAGTGCCTGTTCCCTGTGCTCGTAGCGTGTCCTCCAAACGTCGTCAAAGTCCTGCACTGGAGCTGTTGGTCTGTCTCCTGCTGGGCTGCCTGTAATTGCCAGAGAGAGGAATTTTTTGGTCATAGAGTATAAAAATGGCTACCCCATGTCCCTGTGACTAAAAAAGAAAAAAAAGGTAAGATTCTGGGCAATTAAATATTTAGAAAATATGTTTTCTTTTACACTTCTCAGTTCCAAGGTGCAGAGCTTTGAAGGAAATGGATTTAATTAAAAATTCGGGGTCAGACTGTTACTGCTACCATCAGAAAACCCAAATCGAGTGGAAATATATATGGTCAACTGTGCAGGTAAGAGGGTACCTTTAAATCTTATCTTACCACGGGGAATTTGTTTATTTTTCTTTGATTTTGAATCAAGCTCCTTAAAAAGGATCATGGCTTTATTTTTTAAGATGAAAAAAATATGTATTTTATTCATTCTTTAAAATGTGTCGTTATTGTTGACAGTATCCCAGATGCCCCCTGCCCGGCCCGTTGCTGTGGATGTGTTTGATGTTTATTGTGATACCCTCAGCGCCCCAGACTGGGCATTGCGACCACCGCGTGCTTCCGCAGCAGGGCTGGTGGCACTGATGCAGGAACAGAATGGGTGGGGGTGGGTTTGCCAGCGGGCGTGAAAACAAAGGCGGTGCCTACAGGGCGTGAGTCCTCATGACATGCCTTGGGATTCCTCAGGACGAGCAGGGGCTGAGTCCTTCGGGGTGAGGAGCAGGGTGGAGATGCCCGATGCATGGGGGGGTCCAAGGCTTGCTGGGTGCAGTGCCGACGGGCATGCTGGGAGGACAGGAGGTGGTCAGCCAGGCGGTGCATGGAATGCGGCCTGTGTGAGGGGCTTCCGTTCGGGGCTGACAAGGTCCAGGGTGTGGCTGTGGGAGTGATTCGTGGAAGTGGGTGGGGGACACGACCATCAGAGGAGCTCAGAGAACGGGAGGCCAGCATATAGGGGTGCGGGGAGTGCACTGTGTCTGGTGAATCCCCGAGACGCGTGGCTGCAGGTGGCACTGGAGAGAGCGCAGCCGTGGGCCCCGGGGCGAAGTCCACGAGGAGGGGGAGACAGGCAGTGGGTGATACCACCGATGCCCGAGGCTCAGAGCTGGTGGCCATGCCCCCCTTCGGGCTCCCCAGTCCCGGGCAGGGAGGAGAAACAGAGGGACAGACAAGGCAGCAGCCAGGCTGTCATCAGTAATGCGTGGCTGTAGCTGGTGCTGTGCTGTGAGCATGGGTAGGCCCTGAGGCCAGGCTCTGCCCTCAGGAGGTGGTGGTGGGAGACGCCGGGGCTCCGTCTGAGCTGATCCCGAGGGAGCATGTCTCAGTCACGGAGAAAACGGCAGAGAATCCCCTCTTCTCATGGGCCACCTGTTCCTCTGTCTCGTCTTTGCTTATGTCTCCGTTGGCCCTGAGAACATGCTAGAGCAGTGGTTCTCAACCTTGGCTGCACATTAGAATCACCTGGGAATCTTTGTAAAATCCTGATTTCTGGGCCTCATCCTCCGGAAATTCCGTGTCTTTGTTAAGGGGTGAGGCCACATTAGTCACAAAGAAACAGAATTTCCGGAGGACGAGGCCCAGAAATCAGGATTTTACAAAGATTCCCAGGTGATTCTCATGTGCAGCTGAGGTTGAGAACCACTGCGCTAGAAGAAGAAGTTGGATCAACCACCACTCAGGGAACAAACACCCACTTTCCGGGCGGGGGTGCGCCCGTGGCCTCCACACGGCACCGCGTGCGTCTGCGGGTCCCTCACTCAGCCAGCCACGGCTCTGCTCCTCTGCTTAGGGTTCTGGGACGCGTTCGAGAAGCTTTAACTCCTGTGCTAAGGGGGCTGTGTGTTCTCGTTGGTAGGTGAGGATCACCAGCGCAGAGCTGCTCAGTGTTGCGTATATCACAGAAAGTCACAACTGCCAGGACCCAGAGACCGTCCTTTCTCTGATCCAGTGTGCGATCCACGCGTTCTGGACCCCGAGCGAGTCGCATGAAATATCCGTGAGCGTCCGCCCACACGGGGAGACCGTGTGCCTCTCTGTGAAGCCGGCCGGGAGGCACACGGTGCAGGTGACTCGCAGGGGTGAGTCCGCTCGGTTCACTGGGCTTCCCGGCCCGTCTTCCCGAGAGGCATGGCGGTAGATTGGCGTTTCCCTGCGCACTGCCACCGCCTTGACACCAGCCCCGTTCCCCGTGTGTCTCCTTTGCTCCAGCTGTGGATTTCGGGCTCGTCCTCCTGTTCGTGGCCGGCATCGTCCTCTTCCGCCTGGCGGAGCGCTTGAGTCAGTAAGTACCCGTGGCCCCCTTCTTAACGTGGGGACCGAAGGGCGAGGACCGTGCTGGCGCCTGCGAAGGAGGTCCATGCGGGTTTGAGGGTAGCTCTGTTTCAGGTTTTGCAAACGACAGGTCTGAAGCTCCAGCTTGCAGAGCCTTTAAAGCCAGGAAAGGTCGTTGGTGTAGCGATGACAGGTGAAAGCCACACCGGGCGTGCTTCCGGGGCGGAATGCGGCATCGCCTGCTCACAGACATCAGTGTGTTCGCGTGTGAGCTCTGTTACTGTCCCCACCGTGTAGATGAGGAAGGAGATCTGCCATCACCTGACTGGTCCCCCCGGGGCTGGGGCGGGGGACGGGTTTGCTGGTGCAGACGCCTCCCCGACGTGCAGCTCGGATGCCCAAGGAGGGATTGCACAAACCTCTGATCAAGCTGCCATTCTGGTTTTTTGTTTCTGACAACTTTACTCATGAGGAAGGAGTGTCCTTCCAGTTGTTTTCACTGTTCAGTGTGCTGTCCTGCACACGGCGTATGCCTGAGCCTTTCCTTGGGGCATAACCAAGTGTGAACACCCCTCACGGCCCATCCGTGTGCAACTGGCCGCTGCCGACGCAGCCCGAGGCGGGAAGCGTGGCTCTGCGGAGCTGGGCTGCAGCCGAGGC